AAAAAAAAAAATACAGAGAGAGCATCCTTTGTAGTGTGGAATAGCGCAAATGATATGACGTCAAAAAAAAAAAGATAAGTAGAAAGAGTAGAAAAATTGATCAGAAAAGGGGAAAGCAGAACTAAAAAAAGAGGAAAGCTGGGGGTGCAATAAAAGCACGGACACATCTACACATCCACACACAGATATTCACGCGGACTTGGACATATGCGAGATATGTTGCCCTTGAGTTTGAATACATCAAAGGCGCCTTTTATAAATCACTTCCGAAATTTCCAGCGTCGATTATAGTACTGCAAGCGCCATTCTACGCTAGAGATTTTTCTTAAGCTGGTTACACCACTACACCTTATGAAGATTAAAAAATGAAAGCGGCAGCGTCTGCTCTGTAATTTGAGACGAAAGCTGTATGTTTTATTATATCTATTTGTTCTGCAGATAAAGAGCAGATGTGCAATTTTCTTATTTCGGTGTACTTATTTACTGATTATGGCGTCATCAACAAACCTATCTAACAAAGTTACGGTAAACTGACTTCTTACGTGCGCCTTATTGTGTTCGTAATATTCTGGGTACAGGGCCTTAATCTATAATACCAGGAAGTCAATACTTTATCAGCAGTTCACATATCTCACATTGTTTGCATCATCTTTCTAGCGATGCAGCAATTCCTTTTTCATCGTACGGATAAAGGACACAATTACAGAGTGCAATAAAATTCTCAAAAGGACCATTTTTGTTAATAGCTTCTTGCCTTCTGGCCCTGAAATGCAACGTAACACGGCTGACTGAAAACAGATATATACTGCGCTATGTCGGCTTACATCACAAGATATCTCTCTCTCTCGTGCAATCGCCACACTTTCCTAGCATGATTCAGCTCGATTAGCTTCTTCCTCTATACCATATACCAATTTTTCCCTCCTTGATGTCACACGCAGAGTAAGCTCCGCTCGGCGAAACTTGCCGCCGGCTTGTAGTATATTTTCTCGATGGAGTTTACTGCTAAAGGGGCGGTGCAACGAGAATCGCTTGGAAAGTTTTTCACTTTACACGAGCTTACTGGCACTAGTGGGACCCAAGTATACTGTCACACAATGCCACTAGCCAAGACACTTTTTTGTTGCGGTAAAATCTCAAGGACAAAAGCGAATGTTTTCTTTCAACCTCTCCTTCGAAAAACATGATGACGTAGCTGGAGATTCGCAGTATCCCCTAACGACGATATTTGAATGCGGCTCATAGATTGGACCCGAGCATTGCGTGAGCACTCGATTTGGGCTCGTGGCAATTGATAACTCGAGAAGCATTCGGGTAGTGGCCCGTATCCAATCTCTGCAATGACGACAATAACCGAACCATAACAATGTCTGGAACTCAGCCCGTGTCATTGGCGGCCTGCAATCAGCTCCAAATCACGTGGGCACTTGTTCTGGCTGCGAGTATAGGGTGTGAACGCTGCTCGTCTTTCTTCAATGTTTTTTTTTTCTGCGAATTTTATTGCCTGTGGTTAAAAACGATCGCGTGTTACATAGGTGATTAGCGTTAGGAATTCGTTTTAAGTGGTATTTGTGCAAAGTACAAAAATCGTTGCATCGCCGCTTTAAAAAAGCAATGCAACAATTTTAAGATTGAAAGAATTTACCGTTTGTATTTCTTATATTGCCTATCGCTCCCCAAGTAAACGTAAATATGGATCCTTCCCCCGAAATACAGCGATACTGCTACATTTCGCAAAGGACAAATCTAATTACTGGCCAATCTGCAGCCGCGTGTGGCGGTTACAGGAACTGCTGTGTGACGTACTCTGGGGGACGTCGTTTGTAAGTTAGTGATTTGTGCAATTTTGTGCTTAATTTAAGGTTATTTTTTTAAATATTGTCGTGTGAGCATAGAGCAATGAGTGAAAAGTCTAGGATTATTCCTAAAATTTATTAAATTGCCGTGGCGCCATCTAGCGGAAGTCAGCAAAACCGTGTCCCCTGTGCAGCCACCCTCCCCGGCGTTCCCGGGTTTGTTTGTGCCGCATCTCAGACAGCATCTTGTTTCCGCGTGCGTGGGATCGCACTAACGATGACGAAGAAGCAGTCTCGTGAGCCAACTCTCGAGCGGTGATCGAACTGCTTGGTCAACCCAAAGGTCTTCCAAATACCCATTCCGTACCAAGAGCACACCTTGCGCAATTATTTATACATAATCTAAAGAGGATCAGCTACGTCTCAAGTAATGTCTAGCAGTTTGGTTTGTTCGAGGAGCAGAGAAGAGTCTGAACTTTCGTTTTCTCGTGTTTTTAACGTACGATCGTATCGTCCGCCACGACCACGGGCGAGGCCTCTTGGGTGCGGTGTCTTGTTGTGCCGGAACTGGAGTCCCCTGTTCGTAGACCAAAATATCCTTTCTCATCGTCTACCGCACGAGGAGCTCCTCATAGGTGCGTGGCGTCAGAGACCAACCAACACGCCCTGACGGCGCGTTGGTCGAGAACACGGTTGACACGGTGTTCAGAATCACAGGACGAGCGCTGGAGGACCAAAAAAACTGAAGTCACTGAGCCCATCCGGAAGCGACATAATCCCCCAGAGATGTCAGTGTGCACGTGACTCGGAAATACTCTGTCGCCGATGCACGAGTTGAGAGGCGCCGAAAACTTCGATCTTTGCCATTATTTTTAATAAAAACTAGCGCACAGAAGCAGACATGGTTGTCTCTTCTTGAATCTAGAAATGGCCGAGACCAACTCCCCTAATTATTTTGCCGAAGTTCGAAAATCGTTTAAGGTGCAACTCTGTCAATGTGCTGGCGCGAGCGCGTGGCTTCTCTAATGTCTCATTCGCTCGAGAGCACGTGATAATGAGCCGCAAGATGAAGCCACACGCTCGAGCCAGCAGCTTTGACAGTGTGGTACTGGTTGAGCTCCATGTAAATCCGAGCATAAAGACTTGCATTAACGTCACATCAGCGGCCATTATGATGGCATTGCTGCTAAGGGCGGACCCATGTGCAGCATACATTTTGCGCCATTGCTTTTGTTTTTTTCTAGTTATGAACAAGTAGAAATGACCATGGTGCAATGACGTCAAGTACAGGGCTTATCCGTACATGGCCTAATTTATAAAATACTCCGTAAAATTAAGTTATAAAAAATATCAAAATTGTAATTGATGTGAGTTCTATTATACCCAGGCAGTTACAGTCATCGGGGATTACAATATTTTGTAAAGAAAAGCAGAAATTTATAATTTTGTAAATGTAATGACGTTAAAGCTAACGTAATTACAGTTGGAGGAGCTGGTTATTTCTTCATTTTTATATTTATCAATTTATTAATTGCTTTATTTGTGGATTGTTTGAGCGTATACTACAAGCATATTGGAACGGCCCTTTGGGAGGGGGGGGGGGGGGAGGGTGTAGAACTTAAAGCAAAGATAACGAAGAGGAATACATAAAGAAACACACACTTTATTCATCAATTCGCGTTAATGTGAACAAGCGCGTTGAAAAAGAGACGCAAAAAAGAACAATGCAATTAGGTTGTCAGCGTACACAGCCATCAATCATTCAATTTATATTGCATTGTTTGAATCACAAAAAGAATGTTCGTAAACAAACACCCGTAAGAAAATTCTATTTAGAAGGTGTTATTGTCCAGAGATTTATTGCAATTGTGGAAAAGAAAAATTGTCACAATGAAGGGCATTATAATTAAATATAAAACTTGGCTAAACAAAAAAAAAAATGTGGTGTCGTCATTGTGTTTCCTATGAAGGTTATGGAGTTTTAATATTTGTGTTACGCTGTTCATCAATCGATGCACAGCTTGTAATGAACATGTAAAGACAATCGTCTTAATCTCGCAATCTCTTTATGCTGTTTGAGTAATTGTATATTGTTTACTATCATCAATACAGACGAATATTATAGCCTAACTTAGTTCCCAAAACTAAAACGAAGAGCTCTCCTCAGTATAATCTCTAGCTTGGACGCATCCTTTCCTGTGATCGGGTCCCTAACCACGCTGGCACGCTCTAACAGCGATCAAACAAGAGTGTTATACGCTGGACATGTAACGGGAATAAAAGCACTTTGAAGGTTCTGACGTAGCAAACCTAAGTTATGAGATGCCTATGAACAGAGGACTTAAATCAGCAGAAATCAGCGAAGATCGCTTCAAGTAATTGCAATGAGATAGCACATCCAGCTCGAAAGTTAAAGAAAGAAGTTTTAAGTATTTAGCATACAACTTAAGTTAAATTAAAAAAGTGCAGTAAATCTTAAAATAAGTATTTCAAGGTGCAAAAAAAAAAAAAAAAAAAAAAAAAAGAAACAGTCAATCTCTTGTTTAACGTGCTAAATGAAGGAAGGGCACCAGTGAGGAACTTATGGTTAATGTCGACTACCTAGGGTTTTTTTACACGTAACTTTACACTGCGTTTTCTCTGCAGTAAGCCTCCGTCATACTGCTGGCACCCTTGCCGGTATACGAAAATTGGGCATTCTAAAGGTGCAACGCTGTGTTCCGCCGTTAAGGGCAGAAAATGATCGTGATACGTCTGCATAACGTTTTGTCAGGTCAAACGCCCAAGGGCCCGGCCAAACCTTTCATTATTATTGTTTACAGTGAGGGGAAACGAGACTTTATCTGTAGGGACTTTTTTTTTTGTATGGAATATTCATTAAAAAAAGTTTCTTCACATATTTTGACAAATCGAATGCACCATCAAACTGTACCTTTACCTTTCATTTGTCCGGTATTCTTATTTATTTCAAACAAGTTCTGTTTCTTTGGCACACGCGCTGGGATCTACCTCGTATCGTTGACTCAAGCACCAGGATATATCGGTTTATGTGGTAAGTACCATATCGCGTGCTTTCGATCTTCACGTTTTACGAACTGCTCTTATACACCAACTCATGTTTACAAACAACCCGGCGCGCCCTCTCCCTCTTTTTTTCCCTTTCTCTCTTTCTCTGGCGCATGCGCGGTGGCCGGTGGGCAAAAAGCTCGGCGTCCCTGTGTAAACAAGCCCTTGGTATACGCTGTTGTTTTTCACATTGTGCCGTGTATTTCGCTTGGTATTGCTTTTCCTACGTGCCGATTGCAATGTCGGACTACTACAGCGGCCTCAGCGAAGTGGACAGAGCCCGTTATGACGCGAAGCTGCGTGTAAACGGTGTGGACTACGGCGATCCGTACCGCGTGGACGCCTCGGAATGGACGTTGACGGGTCGGCGGTGGCCCCCCGTTACTATGATAAACATAACAGTGTATCTGCTTTTCACGCCCAGCCGATTTACGCCGGACACATTGCAGGCGTACAAGTCCCTGGAGGCGTACAACTACTTCGAGTCAGGTAAGCAGGGCTGCATTCCATCGCCTTCCGAAGCCAGCTGTTTTAGGCCTGAGTTGAGACGATGTTTCAAGCGTAGTACGGACTGCATTTGAATGATTTACGCCACAGAGCAAATAATGCAAGGTGTTGAGGATTCATGTAGGTCATTCCGAGATCCGTAACGCCGCAACCACGTTTCGTTGGTGCTGTACATACTCACTCTAAGATAGCTAGCTTTTTCCCGTGTCGGTTGTTGATTTCGTCGTTCATATGTCTGTGGTTAAAAACCGCGTTTGTAACACAGCTTCGAGTTTTACGTGCTAATGCTTACCCTGCGTTCATGTTCATTCCATGTGCGTGTATCACGCCCACGCGTACCTGGAACAATCGTCATTCAGAAGTGGCGTACAGTAAAAACTCCAGTCGGCAAAGACGCCTAGTCGTTACAAAACACGTCTAACTGCTCGTGCAGAATGTCTCGTTCTCAGGAATATAGCCTTCACTGCGTATTGCAGAGCTGTGCTGTGTACTGTCCAGTGACTAGCAGAATATGCGATCGCCGGTGTCTCCCGTTTTCTGCCAACAACTGATAGGCTGTCATAGAAGCCACTAGTGGCCGCGGTGTGCTCGTGTGAGGCATCTACCATATTAGAAATTGTTGTTGAACACCAATATGAACAAGTAGTAAACAACATTATTTTCATGTCACATATTTCTTGTGTTGTGCCACATGCATGCACATCTAAATTCAGATGTCACATTCCTTCCACCCACTTGCAATTCTGAGGCTGCTGTTTTGATATTCTTCTCAAACATAGGATGTCGTGGACAGGATGATCATTGTAAAACCACCGCCATGGTGTCAAAATTAAGAGGGTATTTGGTTGAGAGTGGTCACCGTTTCACAAACTATAAACTGGTGTATTGGTTTTGTATTCTTGCCCAGGCCATGTACGTGACGTCCGACTGTGGCAGCCTGACAGGCACGAGTTGTGTTTTGTGCGGGCGAATGTCAAGCCATCGCAGAGGGCAACTGGCCCACCCCATGACGCATGGGTATGCCTGGACCATAAGACAGGTCAAGTTTACTGTGGCCACTGCACATGTAAAGCGGGGTAAGTTCGTTCACAGCTGCACCGGCAACACAGCATTTTCCAGAAGCATTATTTGCTCGTTTACATGAAAGCTGATTAACTATTTACCTCTTTCCTTGCAGTCTGGGTGAGGTCTGCAGTCATGTAGCTGCACTTTTGTTCTGTGTGGAATACACGGCCAGAGTGTCCCAGGAAGACTCGTGTACCTCTCAGCCGTGTGCATGGACCAGGACGGTCGCAAGAAAGGTCTGTTACAGTACTCGTGCATATTGTAGATATGAGCTCTTGTCAAATATTTTTAACTATTCTAGATCCTGGTGTCTGGAACCCTATGTGACAGATTGTGTAACAAAATTACAGCTGTCTTTCGTTTCTTTTGGCTACCTGCATAAGTAAAGCCGTGCACGAAAAGGGACTTTCGTATCCGCATTCAACCTGCATTCATGAATCCTGCATTCGCAAACTCTTAAAATGTGTGCTCAGTGACGCTAAAGTTAAAGGCATTTTGCTATGAGAATTATCATGTAGGCCAACCCAACAAAATGTCAGGATTGTAATTATTGTCCTTGGATAATAATCCCAATGCTTAATCCTTTGCCCAGAACAAGCAGTCTTCAGTGTCCGAGGGCATAATTCGGGGAGCTTTTCAGGATTGTGACAAAAATTATGCTTGTGCTTTTTGGTGACAGCACTGGCTGTCTCGCAGTCAAAGGTATCAGTGCAGCAAACAAGCTGTGGAGATCACATTATAGCATGTCCATGTTCAATCTGTTATCTACATATTCCAATGAATCTTTAACTCCATTGCTCAGCTTCATTGTACCTACCGTAGTTGCAGGTTTAGATGGCCACTGTAGTTTTCTCTGCTGTTGTAGTGCCATTGAACCCTTGATCATCAGTGCATATCCATGCATAAATGGTAAATATGAAGGGCTATATTTAATAATTATGACACTAGTTTATTCCTTTTGATCCATGTGCTACGATCAAAAGTTTCTAGATGGAACAAAAGTTCAGTAGCAGCGAGGTGTGTAAAATCAATGTGCATTCATACAATCTTTTGCCACGCTTTGACAGCTTGAGATGCAGGCCTTTTAAAAAAAAAAGGGCGATGTAAATGTGGATGTCTACACCACAGGAGGACATGGTCCCTGTCCACCAGCTGGACCTCAGCAAGCCCGGAATGCCGAGCCGAACGCTTCCCGAAGAACCAAACCATGTGTCCGGGGATTTCCAGCTCGCCGACAAAGCCCTCTTCGAAGAGATTCACCGACTGAACCCTCAAGCAGTTGTCCTGAGGTCCATCCCAAAGATGGACGACGAGGACACCGACTCCGCCTCAGAGGACGAACAGTCCTACACATTTCTGAGGCAAGCTAATGCTCATTCCTGTTACTAAATTTGGCACATTGATACTTTAACCTGTGGGTTTCTACTTTACCTGCTGGACACTGCTAGGTAAATCCCACTCCGTAGCTCGCTATTTAAAACTGCTACGGTCCAGTTCATCCGAAGACTGCCGTAAGGCTCCTATGCAGAGGAGACAGCAGCAACACACTGAATTCGTAAACGATGTGTTTATTGGCACTCGAAAACGACAACACGCTTTGCCCTGTCAGCCAAAAAAAATAAAGGGTTGGTATTGCCTTATTTGACGGAACTGCCTGTGAGGCCCATGCTGCCGTATGAGGCAGATTCGTGGGACGGGAGATGCCGCAAAAAGAAAGTAAAGTCCCTGCTTAGCCAGAGCCTCCCCCTATGGGAGCTCCCATTCATTGGTCTGAACCGGCTTAAGTAGCCTGCGGGAAATGGATGTGCTTGGGGCGCCTGGTTGTAGGTTACCCTGGACCTAAGCAGCTCCATAATCATTCCGAAGGGCGCACTGGCGGCATGGTCATCGAGTGGGCGAGACCACCCACTTGTTGTTGGCGGAACATGATCAAAAGAGGTCAAAATAAGGACTTAAAGACGAGGGCTGGTTTTCTTCAGCACCTAATAGTGTGACGTGCCTTACACAAAATGCAGGTTTTTTTGGTGCTTTGGCAGCAAGTTTCTTTAATTCATAACATGGGGCTAAGCAATCAATCAGCCCCGAATTTTTAAAACAAATCAAGGTTATAGCAATGTGTTGTGGGGCAAGAGACTACCAGATTACCAGTGAAGCGCAGTTGTGCTTTCACCAGAAATCTCTTGTCGGAAGTGGGCACATATGACTGCGGGTGCTGTACACCTCGTTACTTCGATGGGCTTCTCTTCAATCTTTCTATGAGTAGTAAAAGTCAGTGCGCTATCTCCTTTACTGTCGTGCATCCCCTGGGAAGAACATGTCCAGAACATTTAAGTTGCACGAGCCTTGTTCATTGACGCAGGAATGCTCATTGCTTCTGCAGAAATGCTAGGGGTAGAAACAAAATTGTGAATGTATCATCTCAAGAATGTGACAAACGTCGCCCAGAGCCGTGTATGGGGAGACTTTGGCCAGTCTATGATCTTGCTGCTGGACACCCCCTTCCGAGTGAGCCAATCAGCCCGCGGCGCTGAGTGAGGGGCGTGAGCACATGTGCGTGAACTCTCAGCTGCTCCCACCTTAGCGGGGAGGGCTGCCATTTTCACTCATTCGTCCGGCAAAATGCATGGGATTGACATCCAAATTTCGCTTCTTTCCTTTTATTTGGCAGGCTATGGCAAAAAAATATTGTTATTCCTCTGTGTCTTAATAAGCTAACGAATTAAGTTTCTTTGCATTTGAACGCAAACTTTGCTTCCGGCGAAAAAGAAATAAGCCCGTAGCAGACAACGCGTAACCTCAACAGGGCTCGGCGCCCACTGCATTGCGTCAAAATGGCGGTCGTCTCCTCTTTGCTCCCTTCTTTCTCTCTTGTCTTTCTGCACCCTCCTTCCTTCCCTTCACTTTTCTCCTCTCCGGCGCCTTCGTTGCCACACCCACTGGCCTAACTCTCCCAATATACGGCTCTGACGTCGCCTATCTTCATAGTGTTCTAATTTTTGTAAATATTTCATTTTTAAGGAAAGTCAGGAGAACAAGATCAACAAGGATGTCGCTCCCACAAGACATGTTTGTGCCCATGAGAGAAATTGAGAGGATAGAAAAGAGCACGAGACGGCAGGCGACAACACTTATGTGGCGGGAGGTTCGCTACGGCAGAATAACTGCTTCCATCATCAACAAGGTTTGTGAACTAATGACATTCGCTCAATTTTCGTAAGTGCCAGCATGCCACGCATGTGCCCTTTACAGGTGCGCACAATGCGAGACACTACATCCCCAAAGGCCATCCTCGACCTCGTTCTACTAAGAACCCCGCCACTGACCACCGAGGCCATCCGCTGGGGTGTCGAGAAAGAGCCCGAAGCCAAGGAGACATATCAGAAGTTCATGGAGACTTGCCACAGCGACTTCAGGCTTTGCACTGTTGGGTTCGTGATCGATAAGAAGGTTGTACCTGCTGCCATTATTCTCTTCGTGTTTGAGTGTGCAAGGACAGACAAAGCTTGCACAACTTTCTTAATTTATATCTTAATCAGCTGGTGCCAATAACTGAAGCACTCTTCCCTTGTTCCATTTCACAGCCTCACAAGGAGTTGTAGCTGTTGTATGTTAAGGCTCGTTCACACACTTGTAACCGAGAACGACCGAGAGACACAGCCGGTTTTTAAGCCTCTTGCGACGTCTTAGGATGAGCTCTGCAGCAGCACATGCGGTCCCAAGACGTCGCAAGAGGCTTAAAAACCGGTCTTGTCTCTCTTCGTCCTACTCGGTTACAAGTGCATGAATGAGCCTTGAAGGGGCGTCCACACCGGAATTGAAAAACATGCACGACTCCCGACTTTTGTTGTGACAAAAAACCGCATCGCAGGAAAGAGAGACAAAAGCCTGGGCTCACCCTCTTTCAATTGGTTTGGGAGAGGGCTCTCTCAAACCAGTCCTTTGCTCATTGCAGTTGCTTAGAACCAAACTGATTAAATGCAAAATTTTCCATGTTTTGGTCTTCTGAAAGGAATAATGTGCTTAGATGGGCCAGTTAATACATTGCAAAGGGTATAAAGCGCCGTAGAAACATGGACCGAGACGCGAAGAAAACGGCATGGGGCGCACTCTCAACTGAAGTTTATTCGAAAAAGTACACGCTATTACTCCCAACAGGAATGCACAGTCATCAATCAATCCCTGTGCAGCTCACGTTTTAAGTACTCCTACTCATCCATAGATGGGGCCAAAGACTGTTCCCTGACGCACTTCTTTCCCCTAGCCCTAATCTCAAAAGCCTTGTGTAGTTTGTGTGACACCTTGTTTTTGTATTTTGCCAAAATCTTTGTGCTGTTGAATGACGGGGCGCAAGGGCATCTGCTGCAATGAACAGCGAGATGCCGTGATGGTTTCGTCCTCGTGGAAGCTGCGTGTTCGCGAGCTTGATCATTAACACACATATTTGCACTACATAGCTTAACCCACACGTCTTCGGGATCTTATACACGCTGCCAGTCGTGCACTCTGTGTACTTGTCCTCATGTCTAGTGTTGCACGGGTCTATGAACGGCTGGGGATTATTGATTCTTCGGCATAATCGCGACATCTTGTTAGGCGCTGAAAACAGAGCCGAGACATTGTATCGCTGAGCCTCCTTCTTAAAATTGCGTGCGACGCCGTGCATATATGGAATAACCACCATTTGATGGGGGAATTTATGTGCAGAAGAAGGGAATTAGCATCGGTGCCAGTGTTGCTCCTGTTTTGTGCAATATTTTTTTAGGTGTGCGCACAAAGGCTATTTCGGAGAAATTGATAAAGAGTGATGGCAGATACAAGGTATCTAACTACGTTGATGATTTCCTCATCCTCGCACCCACAATCGGTCCCTCTAGTTGTGGGGAGGTGCTAAAGGTAATTAAATCATGTTGCCACGGATTGTCTTTCACTCATGAAATACCTAAAGATGGAATAATGCAATTCCTCGACCTCAAGCTTAGTTTTTTAGGGGAGCACATTTGCTGGACGTATGCACATAGGTCAAAGAAGGGGATTCTTTTTTACGACTCCTGTCATTCAAAGCTCGTGAAAGAGAGATATTGCGAGCTCGTGTTTAGAAGCGTCGCTTAAGAAGTCCTGTCTACGCAGCGCACAAGGTAGCTTTGTGAGACGGGTAGACCGATTGCGGAGGGGGGATTCCCAATGAGCTCATCGGTCGAGGTAGCCAGGAGCCTGATAAGGAAATTTAAGACATCACAGAAACCATCCTGTGACATAACACTTCAATGGCCGGTGGTTATTCTATATATGCACGGCGTCGCACACATTCTTAAGAAGGTGGCTCAGCGTTACAATGTCCCGGTTGTGTTTTCAGCGCCTAACAAGATGTCGCGATTATGCCGAAGAATCAATAATCCCCAGCCGATCATAGACCCGTGCAGCACAAGGCATAGGAATAAGCACACAGATTGCACGACTGGGGTCGTGCATGAGATTCAGATGACGTGTGGGTTAAGTTATGTAGGGCAAACAGGCCGCTATGTTAATGATCGGGCCTGCGAACACGCAGCTTCCACGAGGACGACACCGTCAGGGCATCTCGCCGTTCATTGCAGCAGATGCCCTTGTGCCCCATCATTCAACAGCACAAAAATTTTGGCAAAATACAAGAACAAGGTTTCACGCGAGCTACACAAGGCTTTTGAGATTAGGGCTAGAGGAAACAAGTGCGTCAGCGAAACGTCTTTGGCCCCATCGACGGACGAGTAGGAGTACTTAAAACACGAGGTGGGCAGAGAATGATTGATGACTGTGCATTTTCCTAGGGAATAATAGCGTGTACATTTTCCAACGTACTTCAGTTGAGAGTGCGCCCTGTGTCATTGCTTTCTTTGTCTCGGTCCAAGTTTCTTCAGCACTTTATACCCTTTTATGAAAGGAGATTGAAAAAAAAAATTACTGTAAAATCCCTTTTGTGGACTGGGGGCCCAAATAAAGTGCTTGCGCAGTGTTCAAGCCGATCACAATGCTGTACCATCATGCTTGAAAAAATCACATCGGAGAAAAGAACCTCCTGGCTCAGCAGCATTGCATGTGAGCAGGCTCGTGTTACAATTGCGTCAGTATGCCTGCATAAAGGGCATAACATTCAACCCTTATATTCTTTCGTGGCCCCTTTAAGCTTTCAGTTCGTGCCTCTGTGTGAAATTTGAGGGGTTCCGTATATATCATACTAGGGCTGTTATTATCACTATGCTTTTTTTTTTCTATTTGGCGGTTTTACTAGGATAACTTCCTTGGCGCGTCCCCCGACGGGATCTGGACGTGCAGCTGTCATGGGGTAGGGACATTGGAAGTCAAGTGCCCGTGGACACTGCGCCATGATGACTCTCAAGCCAAGGACTACGAGTGCCTCACCGCTGACTTGCAACTGAAAGAGTCGCATCAGCATTTCATGCAGGTGCAGACGCAACTGCATGTTTGCCGAAAAGAATCTGCACACTTCTTTGTGTGGACTCCAAATGACTACGAGCTAATAGTCGTACCCATTAACAGGGGACTTTATGCTCCTGTTCTGGAGAAGGCACGATCATTCTGGGTCGATCATGTCGTACCGGAGCTAATGTAATAGGTTGAATAATCTGGTGCTGAAGGGGCACTGAAGTGGTTTTTATAAAAGATTGTTTTTGATATATTGTTGAAAAGGTGTTAGTTATAGACGCTTTACACACGCGCCAGATTGAGCCGCCATAGCCGCCCTTCTCTTGTCTTACCGAGATGCCGAGCCACTGAAGCGGGCGTTGACGGGTCTTCACGAGTGCCTATGCTGGGCACAAGAACACAGTAGCATCTAAAATGGCAATAACCTGTCCTGCTGTGGTAATGATGAAGTGAAGCGAACGGAATAAGAGGGAACAAAAACTGAAGGTCAGTTATGGCGGCGCCCATGCACAGCTGCTGTAAAGCGTCTATACATACATAAAATTCTAGATTACAAAACAGGATATCCACCTCGGGGCAATAGAAAAACTGCGGACTATTTTTTTTCAATTTCTAGACCAATGAAAGTCCTACGATACGTGCAGATTCCGAACGATTTTATTATAACTCGTTTTGAAAAGAGTCGGATAGGTACACATTCAGATAAGACTCCACTTTTTCACCGCGGGCGCAGCCATAGCTTGCAATTTGCTAACAAGCGCCCTTTGCCGACCACTTCACTTGTAAGAAACTCTCACGAAAAAGGCCGTGTCACAATCTTTTAATATGTTTTTAACAAGTTAATCGGCTATGCACAATGGTAATTTAGGGATTATTTGGGCGCTTAAGAGCATCTAGGTTGAGTTGTCACCACAAAAGGACGATCTCAGAATCGACTTCAGTACCCCCTTGACAACTTCCCGCAATTTCAGAAACGGATGGCTAAGGAACATTGTAATTTTATTTTTGTTCACCTTTGTCCTATTTCGTGTACATAAATGTTTCAATGTCTGTTACGCTGCTAAGTTCCGTGCTTGTTTTGTATGGTTCCTGAAAATGTGACGTTGTGTATCGCTTGTAATTTGCAGATCTGGAGTTCCTTTTTTTATGCTGTGTACATGCATATGATGAGTTTCTTTTCTAAAATCGACTTCAGTGCCCCTTTAACAACTTTTGCAGTTTCAGAAACGGATGGCTAAGGAACATTGTAATTTTATTTTTGTTCATCTTTGTCCTATTTCGTGTACATAAATGTTTCAATGTCTGTTACGCTGCTAAGTTCCGTGCTTGTTTTGTATGGTTCCTGAAAATGTGACGTTGTGTATCACTTGTAATTTGCAGATCTGAAGTTCCTTTTTTTATGCTGTGTACATGCATATGATGAGTTTCTTTTCTAAAATCGACTTCAGTGCCCCTTTAACAACTTTTGCAGTTTCAGAAACGGATGGCTAAGGAAAATTGTAATTTTATTTTTGTTCATCTTTGTCCTATTTCGTGTACATAAATGTTTCAATGTCTGTTACTCTGCTAAGTTCCGTGCTTGTTTTGTATGGTTCCTGAAAATGTGACGTTGTGTATCACTTGTAATTTGCAGATCTGGAGTTCCTTTTTTTATGCTGTGTACATGCATATGATGAGTTTCTTTTCTAAAAGAGCCAGGTCCATACAATGTGAAAGTGAAATAAACGTGGATGTTTGCATATCCGATAAACTTCGAGCCCTGTAGTGGACAGAATGATAGGCCGAGTGGAATTAAACAACAAAACCTTTATTTGTGATTACATGACAAGAAATAAAAAGTTCTGTCAGGAAGTACACAGGTGCAACTGCCTTCTCCAAAGAAATACACACAAATTAAACCTGGAACAATTGATATGCTTGCAGTAATGTAATAACAAATACAGAAAATTGTCAAAATAAACGGACATGCCAACTACTGGTGCAAAAGCTGATGTGTCCCAAGCTATTCCCTGCGGACAGCACCGTGGGATGGTACAACCTCATTCAAGAGAGCCTTGATCTTACTTCTTAGTTCAATGTGTCGGAGGAAACAGGAATTTAAACTGGGGCCTCAATAAAATTAAATTTATATTAATGCAAAACCACTAACTGTCCCGTGGAGCAAACCGACGTCATCAGCTTTGAAGCCGTGCCAACAGCACCTAAATTCTCCTGTCCCAATGGAACAAAGTGAAGTCTCAATCTGATGGATTGCGACTTCACTTTGAAACTATTGTGCGCCAGCCCATTGGCTGGCGCACGTTAGTTTCAAGGAAGGTGAGAGCCAGTGGGAGCTGGCGTGAGAGCCAGCTCCCACTGGCTCTCACGCGGCATAGTTCCAAACCATGCCACCAGAGAAGCCCTCTCCATAGCGGCGCAGCGAACGCAGCGGCCTAGCCACCGGTAACAGGTACGGGCCTGGCCGCACAGCCTGCTCGGGCAAACTTCAAATAGGCTGCACGGCCGAGCTCAGCGTGGCCCAACCACCGCACGAAGCACGCATTTGGCCGTCGGCCGCCCCCTCGGCAGTAGCCAAATGTGGCCGTCCACGCCACTACACCAGAGACGAACGAACTAAGGGAGCGGAAGAATGACATTCACGCTTTCGCATTCACAACTCGTAAAAAGTGCTTAGGTGTCCTGACTTTTTAAGGCCTACTTAAGTTTTTCTGAATTGTCCAAATTCCATTACTGCAAAGAGAGCGATCGAAGCATTTTTTTAAATTTTGTCCTACACTAATAGTCCACACAAACATTCATAAACGCATAGGAAAAGACGCATTTGTCTAGAAAAGCATAATTAAATAACTGAAGTAATTTGTACTAGGTAGCTGATGTAATTCATCAACTGCATGTAGAAAAAAAAAATACAGTGGCCAACCGATTTTTTTTACTCTGCCGGGAGTCGGAATAATTGAGCAGTCCGAAAATGTGGGTCTGAACAGCAGCCCTGGGTTACTGGTGTTGCCACGCCGAAGTCCGAATATTCAGGAACTGTACCGGCATGCATTTGTGTGATCACTACTGCTTCACACACCAAGAAAAGATAAGTTGGCACATTTTGACAGCTGATTAACTTTACGCTGCATAGTAACTCACACAATTTAATCTTTTAAAAAGAAGATGCTACTAATTTGGTATTTAAAGTGTAGGACAGCCACCGTGTGTGCCTGTTTACAATGCAAGTAACTTGCTAGTCATTAAAAGAGTAAAAGGCAAAAGGTTAGCTACCAATTTGAGTAAAAAATGTAATTGTTGCTGGCTAAAAGGTTCGTACTGCATGTACCCCAAAACAAAACAAATGTGGTTGAATCTTGTAGAAAGGACTTGAAAAGAGATCTGGTAGTTTCAACAATTGCAGCTGACATATCGCTAAGAGACCTAGCTTCCTTGGAGAAGCTAGGTCTCTAGTGAGATGTTGGCTGCCACATTGAAACTAGCAGGAGGCTCCTTTTCAAGAACCATGCATGTAGCAGGTTTTTCAAGTTCCCTGCCTTGACCAGCAGAGTTCACGCATCATGAACAGTGCCTACAACAATTTGCGCTTCAAGTTCGTAATGCCAGAACATATGAGCAGGATGTTGGTGGCATGTCGCAGCAGCGTTATTGGCAGTCTGTCTTGCAAGATCCTAAAAACCTTAATACGACCGATGGCTCGCTCTACGTGGATCCTAATCTTTGACATTTGCCGCGCAGTCTCTACTTCCTGTGCGGGAAGCTGCCGCTTGCCCCTGGTGAATGCGGGCACAACAAGTGTTGCTCCCACCCTACCTATGTCCTCACGAATGAGGAATCCACGGTCGGCTAAAACAGTGTCTCCACTCTCAAGCTTATCAAGCAGGCCACTTTTCTGAGTGAGCTTTTTGTCCGATACCCTGCCTGCCCACGCCTTGGAGATAAAACTCACTGCACCACACGGCGTCACTCCTATTAGGAATTTGATAGTGTTAGTACCCTTGTAGTGTGAATATGTTTGTGAGCGGGCAGTGAATGAGAGCGGTCTTTGAATTCGGCATTCAGAGCAATCTACAATGACGCGACATCGTGGGTAGTGCCGGTGGACAAGGGTTGGCATCGTTCGAGCAATGTCTGGTCGTGTGGGCCATATGATGAACTTCGAAAAAATTGTTGCGAGCAAGGGAATGAGGTTAACCATTATGTGTGCGACCGTCCCCTCCGACACATTGAAACGAAAAGCTAGATCTCGGTTGAGCAGTGCAAGACGGAATTTTGCCAACACCATGAGCACGGCATCTCCCAGGGACACAGTGCTTGGCAGGTATTTTGTGCCCTCTTGCATCAACTGTACAATAAGAGCGAAGAGGGCAAGGCTCGGCAGGCCAGTGTAGAATTGGACTGACGATTCGGTCAGCTGGTCGGAAGAGCAGGTGGTTACAGGTCTGACCTCCATGCTTCGGAGGAGAACTGCATTATCGGACAGCAGCTTTGCTTCTTTGTGTTTTAGATGAAGTACCTCTTTCTGCAGTGCTTCAAACTTGGAAGCTGGAAAGCATGCCATGTGATGCATAAATGCTTGAACAGACAGTTTTTAAAAAATCTCCCACATACTTACAGCAGATAAAGCAAGGAACAGTCACCACCACATCTGTTTGGGCCGAGTTCTCCGCCGTGTGTTTGCTGGAGGCTGGAAAAACAATAATATTAAGGGCAAGAAATCAGAAATAAGCATGTATGAAAGGGAAGATGCATCTTGCATTAGTAATCTAGTAATGTCCGAATGGTTTGTAGATGACATGCTGAGCTGCACCACAAAAGTAAAAAAGAAACCCGTATCACTAGAACTATCAGATGTTCCCAAAGTATGGCATTCGACATCTTTTTAACAGAAAATGGGAGCAGATGACTGGAAGTTGAGATTCGTGTAGTGCTTGGGGGAACAGGTACCCTTGCGAGTTATTTACCACACTTTAGAAAGAAATTACGTCTCGATTAGAAACAAATTACCTGAACTGTTAACTCTGGTGACTTCATTCTTTTTTTTTTATGTTTGTAATAAATGCTCGAAATCATAAGAAAAAGTGTAGTTGTGATTTTTTGAAGCCAACTCGATGGTTATGCCATGAGATGTTAAAGAGTAGAAGCTTGATGATTACTTACGAATGAATGAATAAGATACAAAAGGCATACAGGGACAAACATTCATTTTTAGGAACAATGTTTAATTTTGAACACAAAAATTTTTGCAGTTCTCTAGATTAACATTCAGATATGGAAAGGGTAAAGTAAAGGAGAGAATGAAAATGAGGGTTCAGTTGTAGTGACTATCCAGTTTCAGGAATTTTCCAGTTAGGGCTTAAAAGATTATATTTCACGTTGTAGTAAAATTTACGATGTAGGTTGAGACATTCTGTTTTGTTTTTACTGCGATAGCAGTCCCGACACTCGACGAGTTCAAGTCGTCGATGTCTGCTCAAACGTTTGTTGGTCGATGTTTGCTCTCAACTACAGCGCCTCGCCCGTTTCAGTGGCTGGAGAAGGGGGGCCACGTAAGCGACAGGGTGCGGTGCAGCGTGGAGTGAGTGAGCGGCAGAGTATCGTCGACTACGACGTTTAATCTCCCAAACATAGGGCGGTTACACAAGATTCTGATGCCATCAAAGGGGGCGGGCCCACGGGAGGGAATAGAAGAAATGCACCCAGAACGCACACACGAGCATCGAGGATATCTGTTCTGCCACTTCTGCTGTCGCTGTCTCTCATCTTCCAAGATAGTGTAGATGTGCTGACACTTTTTTTTATTGGGAATGCTTTGACGATCTTGCATCCATAGTACTGACGGTGTCCACCGTTGAGTTTTGACCTGTTTTGATGTGCATCCAAAGCCCTTTCTTTTTTGCATGAGCTGGAATGGGATGTGTTGGGTGCTCAGCTCCCGATGTTACCTCATTTTAGTGTTCAGATAGGCGACCCTTAATGCTAAAATGCAAAAGACGCAATTTTATGGTTGCTCTTGCATGTCCTTCGTTTTTCAAATTCATTTGAAATGTGTTTCGAACTGGAAACAAATTATGGATGTTACATGCCTGGTTCATGGTGCTCCTGTGCTGTGGAGGGTTCTGGCATGATGCCTTGCTCTTTCTCAGCTCTAAAAGAATCTAAATAAGCGAAAAAAAGATTCCAAATAAAAGAAACTTTGCAAATAGGCATTCAACAATTCATATTGATCCAAGAAATGGGAACGACGATAATGTGGACTTGATATGTGACACAATAAATAATGTAGTGAATGTTACATACCTTGTGCACTGTTCTCCGGTGCTGGAGGGGCTTCTGGCGTGAGCCTTAGTTCTATTCCGGCAGTGCTTAAAGTGTCTAAAGTAAGCAACGAAGAGAAATTTCAGATTAAAGAAAGTTTGCAGATATGACTGATTATGACAACCATGTTGAAATAAGAATGCTTAAAATTGAGAGGATAAAAACACGAAGGACGACGACAAAGCAACCACATTCTTTCACATCTTCGTGTTTTTTAACCTTTCAATTTTAGGTGTTGCACATATGCATTCGATAAATCCTAATACAGTACACCGTGCATTTGTGAATGAAACAGGAATATTGTCTCGCTGTCGTCCCGCAAACAGTAGTAAGTGTTACGTGCCTGGTGCTGGGTGCTCCTGGCCTGGGGAGGCCTCTGGCATGATGACTTCTTTTGCCTCGGCAGTGCTTGGCGGGTCTAAATTAAGTTACAAAAAGAGATTTCAAACAAAAGAAAGTTTGGACATACGCATTTCACTATTCTCAGTCCACTACTCTGCATTTGTCAAGAGAGAGAGAAATAACTATATTGAGATAAACTGGTGACTTCCTGTCGGGTCGAAAAGTAGCGAATCTTACACACTTGGTGCAGTGTGCCGACGCCACTCTTGCACAGCATGGAAGTGCCGTCCGACAGCACTCCACTCATGCCTTCAAGTGCCGTTTGAAAGTCCCATACAAAGCTAATTGTCAAAACTAGTTTTTCGAAGCTGTAACTTAGCTTAGTGGTGAGATGCCTGCCTCATACGCAGCGGACCCGGGTTCAATCCACAGTGTGGGCTTACTTTTTTTTTTTTTTTCTCAGACATTCTTTGCTGAGGCGTTTGATGATATTTAAGACATTTTTCTTCTACGATTATCACTGACAAGGGAAAAAAAAGAATGTTGTCGACGAATCTTTGCTGAACAAAATTGTATGAAATTCGCTTAACAAAATTGTATGGGACTCCCTTTCCGGAGGTGCATGGGGGACAGCGGGGCTTGGGTTGATGGCTGGACGTACGACGGGGCCAAGAGGGTTAATAGTTTTGTAATTAGCAGCCGCATATTGTCGCCGCGAAGCGGCGTGAACACAGGCCGGGAAGGGGAGGGTTTAACGAGCTCCCCAGTGATACACGCGCCTTCCGACTTTCTTTCGGACGACACTTGTAAGCGCGAGTGGAGTGCCGTTGGGCGGCACTGTAGACACAGCCAAAAAAAGAAAAACGAACGGAGCATGATCGCCAGAATGTGTACAACAGATCATACGACCAGCATGAACCGTTACACCACCGCCGCTCAGACAATACGGGTTCTACTTACTGCTCAGAGTCACTGCAGGTACTCCTGGCAAGGCAGGAACCGCGGGAACACGAGCTGGGTTGTTCCGGCGTCGCTTTGCTCGTTCGTATTTCCCAACGCGGTCCACACGCTCAGGCCGCTTGAACGCGAAAACGCTCGGAACGTAGTCCGGGTGGTCCGCATCGCTCGTCGGTGCTCCTGCGTTCATGAAGGAACATCAAGACAATACTCTTGCGACAAAAGTTATCCGTAAACTTTACCCGTCAGAAAGTGCTTTCCGCACAGGCGATCCTCGTCCGACGGCGTCCAGTCCTTTCTTTTCACAGCGTCGGTCCACACACTCCGACGGTTCGGGCAGGCAGGGAAACGATAAAATCCAATCGCCGAACCTTTCCGGGCTCTTTCGGTGCAGCCCCAAGCTACACAACTCTGAGGCATTGCAACAAATAGCAAGGTATTGATGTTTTCTTAACAGAAGTCCATAGCCCTGCCAGCCTCGCCTGGTTTGTTTTGCCCACCAGAAAAAACCGGAAGTACCGGAAGTGCGCTCGAAGCGCCACCACCGCGCCGTGACGTAACAGAGTTGAGTTGGTGTATAGACGGCTGCACATAAACAGCAACATCAATCTATTTTGAGGCGGAACTTCTTTTATAGAACGTTGACACGTTCGCGTGTCTGGTCCGCAAAAAGGAGCACCGTGTCTCTCTAAACACGTCACCCTTTAAAGCGGTGTACAGCCCCGACGGCCCTTGCGACTAGTGTCTCCGGTCGCCGGCGGTGCAACGAGACAGCTAAAAGCCGGAAAGTACACGAAGGTCCCCGCCGCAGCAGCATGCCGGCCCCCGCTTCGGACGAACGGGCCGAAGCGGTGCGTGCGGGCATCGTGCGTGAAGTCGGGACTCGAACGCCGCGCATCAAGCGGGGCTCTCCGTACCTGCGTGCCTGAGGCCAACCACTCGGCGTGACGGATCACCGGCAAAAAGGAGAGGGAGAAGGGGAGGGGGGAAAGAGAATGTGACCCCCTTCCCCCGCCCCCCCCCCCCCCTCCCCCCCCCCCCCCCCCCCTTTTTTTTTTCTTTTTTCGACCATGCTTGACCGCGGCCTACATGTTCGCTAGAAGCCGAAACAGGACCCTGGGTTTGAGATGCAGATCCTTCCTGTTTATTTCAGGCTTTCTTTTCTTTTTTCCTTTGAGAGAGAGTGGCAAAAGGAGGGGGGGGGGGGTGGGGGGGAGTTGCGTACGGAGTCGCATTTCTAAGCTTCATCATAAAGTTATACGGGCACCTAAAAGGAACTTTACGCCAAAGGCCTTTGGGATTTTCAAATGACCTTTACGTTGTGCCGTGCCAGACAGCACAACTAGATGTCAGCTATACGATGTTTACAGCGATTGAAGTCTCGTAGCTGGTTCAAGCGCATAAATCACGTTCACGTCCGAAAAATAATATTTTGTCAATATAAATATTTTTTTAAGTTTTTTTGTTTTTTTAAGCAAGCAATATATTAAAAAAGACGAAATCCCGAGTTTAGTCGAGTGATTACAACAAAGTCTATTTCAGGCCCAAGCAAAGTGGTTTTTTGGCGACTAGAAGCAACCCATGGGCGTCTCCGGCTTCAGTCCTAACTAGGGTGGCTAGTCCTAACGTTGCTCAGTGCTCCCGGTCATTTCCGTGCTTCTGCTACGCTTTTCTCTGTTCAGTTTTTGCGCCGTGCTCGCGCTTAAGGTTCATCGCACGCGTCGGAGGTCCTCCAGCCGATCCTTCCAAAGTAGTATCAGCGCCCAGGTCGCCTCAACGCTCCAATGGAAGCGCGGCGACCCCTTCCCTTCTCGTGGACGCTTCTCGCGTCGTGCGAAACGTACAGAAATATTTATGTACAAAAAAAAAACATTAAATATATAAAGTATGGATAGTAATATAAGTAGACAAATAAAAGCTAGATAAATATGGTTGTAAAGAAGATCGAGAGGAGGAAAACCGAAGTGCCGAAGCGGACGACGCGAGCAGGCGACGACGAGGCCTACTTGATACCTGAGGCCGTGAGTACAGAAAACTATTAGTAGAGAGAGGTTTGTACAGAATGTACGTGAAACACGTTCTTTTTCAATAATAAAAATGCGAACGCATTGATTTTAGGTATCGGTACTATCTTTTATTTCAATTCGCTTCTCTAGTGTAGACCGCTGCTGACGAGAGTAGACCTTTAGCAGCCGTAAAGGAGTTGAGGGAACTCAAGTTCACGAAAAGGAGCTTTACGCTAAATGCCATTCGAGTTGCCGTGTGGCAGTGCCTAAATGACAGTTACACTAAAGGTCCTTTGGCGTTAAGGTCCTTTGAGGTGCCCGTCTGACAGGGGTATTACTCTGCTTATCCAAGGTGTGCACGCCTTGCGCACACTTAATTCGTAAATGTGATGTGAGTGTGTTTGTGTGCGAGCGTCTGCGTGTGTGCGTGCGTGCGTGCGCTCGTGTGTGCGCGTGTGCGTGTGTCATTTTGGTATAATCAGGTAAACTGAAGCTTTTTTGCAGTTTTTGGCGATAAAATCTACGCACTACCTATGAGAAATGGTCGTTTAGAACAATGTCAGGATTATTTAATTGAGTCCGTATGGAAAGAATATTCTTCAGAGAAATTAGTAAATATACGCAGATACTAAGCGAATCAGGGCTAGCCCATAGATTGCGCCAGAGTGTTTTCTCCTCGTAATAAATCATAAGCGGTTATGACGCGGTCGGTCACTGTCGAACCGAAATACGTGAAGCAGCCTTCACAGACTGATGTATGCGGATCTGCCTTTGTGCTGAGCATATTGGTTGGCGTTCGCTCTACAATATCATGGGCAAACAAAGCACCGAATCTAACGAAAAACAAAAACAAAAACGAGTCTCCCAACCGCGAAGTGTTAATGAATATTAGGCCACAGCACCACGGGCTCTTACAATTTGGTTTTTGTTTTCTTCTTGTTGTTTCCCTTTTTGTTCTGTAGTAATGCGTTGAGGGGGGGGGGGGGGGGGAGCACTTGTAGAATAGGACTGCCCGTTCTCACACACAAGTACACATGTGCTTAAGTGAGACGGTTCTGGAAAATGAATTTTGAAAGTAACCTGAAATAAACTATTCTATTCTATTCTATATAAAAATAACTTACGCTTCGAACAAAAACCTACTGAATACGAACGCATTACAGGTTCCAGTCAACTCGCGTAAAATGTATTTTTATGCTTCAGCTTTTTCTGCGTCTAAACGACTCGGGGGTGTCGTTGAGACTTTCAGCAGTCACTTAACGAGCTTTATTTTATTTCGCACGCAGACGCTGTTTAATTATTTAAAACAAAACACCCATAACTTAGGCGTGCGCCTTTGTAATATCTAGCTGAAGTAAACGCCTCAAAGATTTTGGGACGCGGCGGAGATTTGTGCAGAGGAAGCTGTATTCAGAGCCGCAAGTACTCACTTCTGGACAACCCAGTGTGATTCACCCTATTATGCCTAGAATTGAGAACGTTTTCCACAGTTCGATCACGGTGACTGATTTGCAATACAAGCTCTAAGGAGGAGTTGAAAGTATCGATCATCCGTTGGCGTCTCAAACCTTTGTTGCAGCATTGAAATGAAAAAGCTCTCCATGATTTTAGTTTCTCCCTGTCTTAAATTTGTGCCCTCTAGTTCACTCAGAGTGGAAGCCAACGACGACTTTAAGCCCCCCCCCCCCCTTTTTTTTTTTCCTCAGAACTTAAGACCGAATTTGTTTTATTGAAGAGAACGCCCATAATCTTTTTTTTTTATTCAAGAAAAAATGCCTCGGTTTTGGTGAAATGGCAATAAACTTCGTCTGTGACGTCACATCCGTTTTGACGTTAGGTTCGTTCGTGACGTCACGTCTCGGTACGAAGCTCTCCCAAGCTTGACCCATAAATCTGCCGCGGGTATAAGTGCCGAATATTTTGCATTGCTTGGAGAACAAAAAATTATTTCCTGTTCAGCGCATCAAGAAAAGCATCCCTTTCATTCACAAGTGACTAAATAGCCCTACTACCCAAGTAACAGGGTCACCTAAAGCTAATGCCCCTCTCACTCACCCGCTTCGGGCGAGGAAAGGGATTGGGGGGGGGGGGGGGGGGAAGGGGGAGGGAGTTGAGGAAAATAGGTATTTTTTCTCGTAGCAACCGTATTATCTTTCTGGGCGCAGGTTTCGCACGCGGCAGCACGTACTCACTTGTTTCATTTTGATAGGTAAAGGAGTGGAATGCATGCGCTTAGTTACCGAACTCCACGATACAGTCACGATACAGTACCACAGGGAACCGTGCTGGGACCATTGTTATTTTTGCCTTATATTAATGATTTGCCTAATTGTATTAACTCAACTTTAAGATTGTTTGCTGATGACTATGTTGTATATGCTAGAATTACTAAAATAGCATATTGTATTTCCTTGCAAGATGACCTTTTTAGCATTGAGTCTTGGTGTCGGAAATGGCAGATGGAAATTAACGTTCACAAAACTAAGTTCATGGAATTCATCACTAAACAAGTTCCCTCTGTATTCAATTACACTTTATTTAACGCCTGTGTAGAAAAAGTTATGAATTATAAATACCTAGGAGTTTTTCTAACCAGTAGCCTCTCTTGAGGGGAATGCCATACCAAACATATAGCCGCTAAAGCTAATCAAACTCTTGGTTTTCTGCGTCGTACTTTATATCTCACATTTGAAGAAACTAAACTTGTAGCTTATAACACCTTAATACGCCCTATATTAGAGTATGCTTCTGCCATTTGGAACTGCACTAAGTATTCCTTGAAAAAGAGTTAGAATCTATCCAGAATAAAGCTGCACGTTCCATCCTAAGAAATTATAACCACTCTGTAAGCGTTACCTCTTTGAAGCCAATTCACAACCTTCCTCCTCTAAGTGAACATAGAGCTGTATGCCAAATAAAACTATTTCATAAACTTTTCTATCACTCTCCATCTCGTAAGTCTATTTATTGCATACCTGCCTCTTTCATTTCTCGCCGACTTGACCAGTCCTGCAAACTTCACCTAGACATTTTCAGGACTAATATTTACAAGTTTTTACCCTTGCAGCTCGCCATTAAAATTGGAACATGTTACCAGAAGCCATTGTCACAATAACGGACCCTCAAAAATTCGCCGAAGCTGTTATTGGTTACCTGCACCTGTGATACGCCCATTGAATTCATTCTTTTTCTCTTGCGGCATTATTGTATTCTGTTTCTTGCCAATGTCTCCCCCTTTGTAATACCCCCCGTGGGTCTTAAGGGGAATAATTAAATGAAATGAAATGAAATGAACGCCTACTTTGATTACAGTGGAAGCCCAGTTACAATATCGCTTTGGGAAATATTTTTTTTTCTTTTTAAGGCACGAAGGATATAGTGACGCCCACTGGATGCATCGATTGGTAAAGGTTACCCTCTTGGAGCTCTTCTCTGCCGCGTGAATACATGTCGGCCTCTTCTTCGTAAATAAAGGCTTTTGTCCTTTCCGTCTAGGTTTTATGTAGAACAAACAAGAAAAAAAGATGCTGGAAAAATGGTTGTTCTGTAGCGCGCATAATTGTTGATT